CTTAACATAACCAAAGCTGTATTACCATTCATCTCTTGATCTATGCAGGTTGACAGAAATAAGCCAACAGAAAGAATCTGTTAAAAATAAAGATTTTGTAAAAGATTGTCGGCATCGATATATCGGAAGGAGACAGCGTGTGAATTTAGGGTGACATTGGAGGTATGAAGATGCAGCTGCCTACTGTAATGGACAAGCAGCAGTCACTATCACATGTGTGCCAGGGTGAATGAGAGCAGCAGTAAGCTTGCAGAAACGACTCGTGATGCCAGGGAGAAGGAGGAAGGACTGCGTTTTGGAACACTGAGTGCACAGACCATGCCGTGGGCTAGGGTGGTGTCAGTGGATAAGCCTGTGATAGACAGGGAGTGTAACCTCCAGAGCTTGATAGATTGGACGCGAATGATGGAAAATGGACTGAGAGGCTTTTGACTGGAGTTCCAAGCGGATGGTGTTGGGGAAAATGGGGGAGAAATTGATTTGAGGTTAAGGAAAGTCAGGTATTTCTAGATACCTTAATTTTGAGGCAGGTATTGGTGATCTAATAGGAGGTATCGACGAGGCAGTTAGATATGAGACTGGAGCGCGTGGCGAACACTGAGAAAGAGATTTCATTTTGGAAATCGGATAAATGGATGGGCTTCCCTAAAGAAAGGGCAGATAGGGAGGGGAGGAAAATGTTTTGAATTTTCTTGGTAGAGAATCCTATGATGTGTGGATGATGGCAGTCTCGTGTCTCACTTTCCAGTGCTTATTCCTTGTGTTCGTTTTGTGGCCTTACTGAATTTAGGGTTTCCAAGGGCACGCTGAGTAAAAGTGGTTTCAGTGGGCACGCGTGTTTATACCTAATCTTAATGATAGACTTTCAACACGTGACCGTTAAAAATTCTTTTTTCCTCTAGTTGTTGTGTAGATAACTTGCCATAGGTTAAGGGGTTCTTTACTAGAATCTTTCCAACACTTTTACTTACTTTTTCTTTTTCTCTAATTGAGAATGGATATTGAATTCGCTGTCAAATGCTTTTTCTTCTATCTGTTGAAATGATGATCACATTAAATGATCATATTAAAATGACCTATTTCTAGAATAATTTCAACTTAGTGATGATATCATATTTTTAAAATACATTACTTTGTTCATTTCGCTAACATATTTTATATGATTTATTCAGCTATGTTAATCAATTAAATTGATCTCTAATGATCATTTCTCATACTCTCCATAAGGGGTTTTGAATCAGGGCTATGTTAGCCTCCTAAAATGAGTCGAGGAGATGATTTTCTTTTTTTCTATCCTCTGGAAAATATGGGCGAGCTAAGAATCGTGTGCTTTGTGAATGTCTGTAACAAGCTGTTTGTGAAGCACCACGGGCATTGCTCAGTGACACTTTCTGGAAACAAAGATCATTCAGATTCGTGAGGAGGACGGGGAATAGGCACTGGAGATTCATGATGACCGTCCGTCAGATCGGTAGCAATTACAAGTGACTGATATTCTTGTATTTTTTAAATCATAACAACCCTATGAGATAATTTCTCTTATTATCTCATTTTACATGTCGAAGAACTCAAGCCTAAGAGATTAAGAAGTGTGAGATTATGCCATTCACACGCAGTAGCACAAAGACTTGACTGATGGTCTCGGTCCAGAATTCGCAATAGTGAGCTCTTTACTTTGAGAAATTTCTTATAAAAAGGACAAACTGCTAAAAGTATCCTTTCTATATTTTTCTATGAGCCCATTTGAGTTAATCTTCCTCTTAAAATTTGCGGTGCTGAAAGTAATCCAATTGTCTGTGAAGTGTGCGTGTGTGTGTGTGTGTGTGTGTGTGTGTGTGTGTGTGTGTATAGTGAAGTATATTTTTACGTCACTTGAATCTCATCATAATTTAGTGCGTGTGGATTTATATTCAGAAATCTCTCCTCATAACTATTATTCTACTGAAGATTTTATTCTTTCTATCTCTAGGCTTACTATTCTTACCTTCTTGATGATAAGAATAAGAGCCTTTCTTTCTACTGTTGAAATCATGTCCGTTATGGACGTTTTCTCTGTGAATTTGATCAAAGTGTAGATGATCATTTAAATTCTAATTCACGCAATCATTCATCCAAGTTATAGTGTAATGATTCAATAATTTACTTTAATGAACGCCTATAGTCATTTAGTGCAGGAGAGAGGATCCTTATTGGATAGCAATGGTAAATCTGTGTAAAGTAAGACTTGCTAGGTTGCTACGTTGTTTTTGCTTTCTAATAAGTCAAATTTTGAAGTTTCTCTTTTCCATCTTTTAAAAACATGAATCTACTTTTCAAAAAAAAAATATCAGAGTCATGGTAGGAGTTCCACAATTTACATAAGAGGCTGTTTATGTAAATGGAAATAGAAATATCTTGTTTTATGTCTTAAGATAATTGGAATCATGCTATTTAACACTCATGAGAGTATAAGAACAAAATCATAATATAAAATGACTACACATAATATGAGTTATCTTTTGCGGCATAACGAATCACTCCAAAACGTAGTGACTTAAAACCTTCACCGCTTTACTCCTCAAAATTCTGGGGATCAGCGTGATTCTTTGGGTTGGGGCCTAAAGAGCTGGGGTGCCCCACTTCCTATTGGGCGTTTTCATCCCGGGAAGGGCTAGGCTGGGGTTCCTTGCATGTTGTCTGTGGCCCGTATTCCAAGGGAGGGAAAGCAGAAGCTGGTCTCCTGAGGCTCAGCTTCTGATGTCATACAACTTAGTGCCCTCACACTCAATGGGTCAAAGCCAGTCACAAGACATCCCATATTCAAGGGGCGGGATTTGGCCTCCTCGCGGCATAAGCTGCAGTGTCACACAGCAGTGGGACACAGACACGGGGAGCATGGTTCACCGGAGACCATTATGTTAGCAATCCGCCACGCAGACTAAGTGACAGCTTGATACGCTCACTGCCCTTGGAAAGGTTAAGTCTGTAATCTTTTTAACCTCATGTTAAGATGTAAATATATTATGTTGGTTTGAGAGTCTCATACACCAAACTGTTTTTATGGCATTTTAATGAAACTAGGGTGCTTTCATCTTTCCATAATAGAAAAAGAGCTCCTTTGAGATGCTGTCATCTCAGCCATAAAAGAATAGACTTTATTAAAAGAAATTTCAGCGGATGCCATTAATGAGAAATATGGACATAAACTATTGGGATAGAATTTTTAAATATTCTATTCATTTCAATGAGTTTATCAAAATAACAGCAAAATAAGAACATAAGAAAGAATCAATACAAAGTCTTTGTAGTTTTTTTTGTTTATAAAAGTAGACTATTTGACTGCATTTGATCTATCGTGAGCATATCGATGGCTCGCTAAAGGAGAAAGAACTGGAGTCTGTTTGGAATTTTAGTTACAGCGCATTCAGAATTACAAATTGTCTTCCCAAACTACATACTATTTTAAGATCCACATTCAGTATCTATCTATTAAACACCTAATATGCTTCAGACATTATTTAATCCTTAACACTAATGCTAACGAAAGAGACATCACACACACACACACACACACACACACACAAGGCCATTTAACAGGAGAGGATAATAAGGCTCAGAATACTAATTTGGCTAGCTAAATCCTAAGTGGTGGCAGTCAAATTTAAATTCATATTTTTTGGACTTGGCCTAGTGCTATGTCATTACTGCCTTCCTAAAAATCTTCTCATAGCAAGGCCTTATCAGGTAGGATTAGAATTTTGCAGAAATATTTCTATTGCCAAATAATAATAAAAATAAGGTAGCTTCGTTACAAAGGGCTTTTAGATTTAAAAAGTGGCATTTACCGAATGCTAATTTTATGTATAAGAGGCAGTAGATGGACTACTTTAATTTCACAAAATCCTCTATGAAGTAGGTGCTATTGTTTTTAATTTTCAGTTTGGAAAACAAGCTTGAAGAAACTGTGACACCAGCTCCAACCGTTTAAATCAGAATTTCCTAAATTAGTGCTTTAAAAGGAAAACCTTCTAAAGAGATATTAAAATGCAGCGGAAGTTAAGAGCCATTGCTTTAACTTGTATGCTAGACGGTTTTTTTTTTTTTAAATGATGTCTTTAGTCACAAAAGATGAAAGACAGCAAATTGAAGAGCAATCATGTCATGATTTTCTTATTATTTAAAAATGTCTTAGTGTTTATAATTTTCATTTAAATATCATTTAAGGTAAGCAGTTTAAGATATGTGAACACAGCTTCTGAAGGAAATACATTTCGCTAACACATAATTAAAATGATTTGCATTTTAATGACTTGAAGCTTTAGACTATTCAGGTGAAATACAAAAACACAAGGTTGTTGTATTTTAGAACAAAAATATATAAATTACTGCCTGGATCAAAATTAGTTCCTACAGAAGCATTCAAGAAAAAAAAAAGTATCATTTTACTGTTCAAGTTCTGAATAGTCTGCAATATAATCTGATGTAAATAATTATTTCAAAAGCAGTGCCATCATAAAAAACTCACATGTATCTTTCTCTAGAATTGTTTTCAAACTCTACTCCCAAATTAAATTTATTGAAATATACTTAAATATACTTTAATATGTTACTCTACTGTGTGGTAAATTTATATGTGTATTAAATAATCTATAACAAAGTATTATCTATCTGTGTGGGAATGTTAAGTATAAATTCATAGATCCAACATTTGCAACCTGTGTCTATATTGTGCACAAAACTCTTACTGCATATCTATTTGGGCTTAAAAAGGTATCCAGTAACTTCAGTTGCTAAAATCACCAAATTATATAAAAAAGTAAAGATTCACCCCAAAACATGGTCTTGTCACATTTTAATGTGAACAGATTTCTCTCATAATAAGTAGATAATGAACAGGAAAACTCATCTGTTCTGTAGAAACATGAACATAATCAGTTGCCACTAACTTCAGAGACGCAGCTCTTATAACTACAATGGGAGTTTGAGAAAGTTCAAAGGATCTCATTCGAGATCGAACTTACCAGCAAATTTGATATGGAATTTATTTTCAGGCTTCAATATCTGGACATACAAAGGGCAATTGGGAGCAAAATCTTTCACAGCCCACGCTCTCAGAATTGTCTGGTGGTCCTGAAATGATACAAATCAAAACACCATGAAACAAGTTGGAAAGTGTCCAAGACAGTCACGTGCTGTATAACGGCATCGTTGACGTTTCGGTCAACGACAGACCGCAAATACAGTGGTGGTCCATAGATTATGATGCAGCTGAAAAATCCCTGTCATCTAGAGACGTTGTAGCCATCATAACATCCTAGTGCAGAGGCTGCAAAAATCACCGAGGCCGTGGCGGGGATGGCAAACGACTTCTCCTGGGCTGGATAAGAGAGACATCGAGGAGCTTCTAGACGGGGTTCCCGAGGAAGTGACTGATGGGGAGTTGTTAGAACTGGAACACACAGCTGAAGAAGAGGCAAGGGAAAGGAAATTGCAGGAGAAGGAAAAGAAGACCCCCCAAAACATTCACGTGAAGGGCTGAGCAGAAGCTTCTGCAGACCTCAACTAACTCCTTACAACGTTTGAAAACGTGGACCCCAACACTGAAAGTTTTTCGTTAATAGAGATGTTTATGGTGCATTATCTTCTTACAAACAGATCTATGATTTTTTTTTTTTTTTAAAAGAAAGAGACAAACCAAGTAAACCACCAAGGGCTTACTTCTGAAAAGAGCGACACTTCCTCAAGTAGAGTCTCAGATGGGACCTTCAGGAGGTGTTACAGAAGCAGAAGGCAGTGTTGTCTCAAGAGATGACAGCTGCATGCATGTTGTCGCCCCAGAGACCTTCCAGTGGGACAAGATGTGGAGGTGAAGTACTGATGCCCCCCCGCCCCTGTGCAGGCCTTTCTACTGTATATGTGTCTTAGTTTTTAACCAAACGTTTAAACAGTAAATAGTAAAAATAAAAAATTTAAAAATAGAAAAAAGTTTATAGAATAAGGATATAAAAAAAGAAAATGTTTTTATACAACTGTGCCACCTGTTTGTGTTTTAAGCTACATGTTCTTATAAGAGTCAAAAAAAAACTTTTTTAAATTAAAAAGTTTATAAAGTAAAAAAGTTATAGTGAGCTGAGGTTTAATTTATTATTGAAGAAAGAAAAACATTTTTAACAAATCTAGTGTAGCCTGAGTGTACAGCGTAGAGTCCACAGTCACGCACAGTCATATCCGTGGCCTTCACATCGCTCGCCCTGACTCACTGACCCACTGACCCACTCAGACAAGCTTTGGTCCTGCAAGTTTCATTCATGGCCAACACCCTACACAGCTGTACCATTGAAAAATAGACCGCATTTTTATTGCGCCTTTTCTATATTTAGATGTGTTTAGATACACAAACACTAATCGTTGGTCAGCTCCATGAGAACGGAGTTGTGTCCTATGTTCATAATCGCGTCTTCAGCTGTACATGGGAACATGGACCATACAGAACACTCGAGAGTATTATGGAATAGATGAAGGGTTAAAAGTGGACATAGTGTTACAGTATTGCACATCGTTTCTTGTCTAAAATACCATGCTCAGGTTGAAGACGAATTTTCCACTCAAATGACTAACCTTATAATCAGCTCTTTGTTCTGCTTCTGTAAACATGCTTCCGGCATAGGCCAAAGGGCAGAGTGGTCTCAAGATCAACTGAAGACTCACTCTCCCCTTGGATTGTTCTGTCTAGATAACAGATGTATTGCCTAAGTACCTGTTTGAACTGCCTATAACCCACAGCAACTCCCACCATTTGTGGCGGTTCGAGTTCAAACTGACCCATCAACTAGCGTAAAATTCTTGCATATATGGAATGTTGCCACTGAACACACTGCCCAGATCTTGGGTGTGTTCTCTCTCTCTCTTGGTTCTCTCTCTCTCTGAGTAACTGCTTAATTTTTCGCTGGTCTGATTTCAGGGCTTTGGGATTTTTCCACAAGGTCTAAGAAGGATACAAAGAATTATGTCAATTAGCCTCATGTAAATTTGAAGCTAAATAAATTAAGACATGTAAACTTTACACAAAAATGTCAAAAATCAACATATGATAGAATAGTTAGTGTAAATAGCAAATGTACTAAAGATAGCTATCAAAAAGATGTTACGAATGGTAAGAGATTCCTATCTCACGCAGTTGATTTTGAAAATTTGGAGGTGGCAGGAAGCAGCACAAGAAATGGAAAAGAACATGTAGCCAACATGATCACTGGGTTTCCAGTGAACAGTGTACCTAGCCACAAAATTCGAAGTGTCGGGTTCAATATTTAGAGTCGATCAGTCGATATGGCAGAAGACTTAGTTTTGGTTATGGGACAAAAAGTAAATGGTATCAATCTTCAAACGCAAAAATGAAAAAACAAAAGACCAGAGAAACACATGTCATTTTCTTACAAAGCAGAGATGCCAAGTATATTAGCAATAGTGTAATAGATTTGAAGCAAATATTCTCTTAAGGGATAGAGTAAGGACGAGAAGTAATAGAACAGACAGCTGATGCCTAAAATCCTACATATATATGTTATTCTGATAGTAATTTCAAACAGTGGTACCACTTTTATTGAAAGATGTGTGATCCATTTGAACAGTAAGCTATTATAATCATGGGAAGCAGTTGGGTACAAAGGAGAAAGTGTTGGGGTTGAACCCACTGGGCGAACCCCGACTCTGCCAGTCTGGGGAATCTTATTAACAACTTGAAGCCTTGGTTCTCATCTCTGAAATAACCGCGGTGGCCATGAAGTGATATGATGGGCACACACGTCTGACCATTTGAAAGCTACTCACGGAATGTCAAATCTGTGTTTTTGTTTGTTTGACTGTTTCATCGAATGGACTTGCAAATTGAGCTAAAATATGCATTTCAATAGTAGCAACTTAGACTGCAAATCCAGTACTATGAAAAATGCAAGATTTTTTTCTAGAAAATTAGTGTTAAAATATTAAAAAAATTTTAAATGCGTTTTACAGCATTTTCTCTAAAAAGCAGATATCATGGGCTTCATTTTTTAACTTGAAATAGAACCATCGGAAAGGATTATCAAACTCACTGAAACTACATGATTTCTTAAAAATAGTATAAAAAAGAAAAATATTACTAAGGACGCTGCTATGCCAATTTCAGATTCATGATTACTTTTTGATTTTCCAATAAATATAAAATTGAATATAAAAATACATTTACTTTTATAAAATATCATTACTTCCAAAGCAGAATCCTTCTGAATACCCATTAATTTCTCATTTTGATGTTTTTCACAATCGCTTTCTCCCTCCAATCACAAAAATGTACACAAACTAATGCTAAGGTTGGCAGTATTCTGTCTGGTTATGAAACTTATTAAAATAACAAAAGAGCTCATTTAATTTTGCAAACTTGGCAATAACGTATCTTTCAGAAATGATGTACCATCAACATTTTTCAAAAGGTGTAACTGTCAAAGAAAATAATATAAAAGAACAATTTTATAACAACAGAATGATTTCGAACCTCATTTAGGACACATTTTTTAGAAGTATGCCTAATATCAAAAATTTATTTCTGTAGATTTAAAAAATTTTTCCCATATAGCAGATAATCCTGATTCAGAGATGCGTAGATATAGCGAAAAAATATTGCAAGATAAATCAGTCTATTAAAAATAATTTTTAGAAATGTTTAGGATCAAAGATGTAAAAATGTAGCCTAAATTATTTCTTCCTTAAGAAATGATAAACATTTCATTAATTAATCCTACACGTTTATCCTTGGAATTAAAATTAAGGGAAGAGAAACAAAATATTGCCCAATCTTATTTCACAAAGATTTCTCCAAAGAAGTTTCAGTGTAATTGACATTATATTTTTGGTCACTTTTTAAAACGAAGTCAAACTTTTTACTTTGCTCCTTAACTGAGTCAGTAAAATATAATTCTACATGTTTCTTGATGTGATAATGGTTTCAACATGGTTTTTCAACCCATGTTGAAGAGTGTGTAGCCTGGGAATGGGTGACTGCCTTACTTTGTAGGATGAAGTAGGAATTTCCCAAGAATGTCCTAGAATTTTCCCGTGGGACCCAGTTGACTAACGTGAGTGAGCTCGATTAAAATTGGGGGGACCAGACAGTCCTTAGCCCAGTGGGGTAAGAACACATTACTATTCCAAGGCTCCTGGCTTTCCCAGGACACCCACTTACTTCACTCCTGACAGCAAGTGAAAATGCAGTGATACTGACTTACGAAGAGCAAAATTCTAAAGACTTCATCTTGTGTCCTCTAAAGGGAGATTCAAGACGTTTTCGTGCATGTGAGGATTAAATTGCAGGAGGACTTGAGAATCATAAAGGAAGAATTACTTCTGCTTTCCATCCCCCCACCTCCCCAAAGCAACAGCTTAGCTGGAGAGAGGCAGCTGAAATGGTCCGTCAGGACTAAACCCTCATACGTAACATACGTAACATTACAGAAGGATATAAACGAAACAAAATGACAGCGTTTTTGCAAAAAACAAAAAAACAAAAAAACAAAAAAAACCCAAACAATCCAAAAAACGTGTTAATCTTTGCAGAATAAAGGAGCAGAGTTTCCTTAATTTAATACCCTCCTGGCTTTAATACCCTGATAGGATTTCCGCCAAGCACGGGGAGGGCAGGAGGGTTCTGGGAACCGCTGGAGGTTAACGTGGTGCCGTCTGCGACAGCAGCAGCGCCAGGCCGGTCCTAACACGGGGGAGCGACGTGGGAAAACGTGCTGACGTGGGCGCTGCTTAGCACAGACTCCACATATATTAGAGTTTTCCTGGGTTCTACATATTGTTTTGCTAAAGAAATCTTCTTGAATTGGATCACTGTGCCCACATGTGTAAGGATGGTTGAAACAAGAGAAATGGGAGGCTGCGTGTGTCCACGCGGAGCACACTAGCAAGAGTCTGCCGTTCATTTTACAGTCAAGTCTCTCAAAGTCTCTGCAGAGACCTCTATGAGACGCTGTCCACGGAAACAAGACAGTCGAGACTCCAGGCTTTGCCACAGGAGCAAACATACGGGACACTTAGTGCCACTCAGGACGTGGGTTTTTCTTCTTTACCCTTCTGTCTGTCAAGACCTAAAAGCCCATCCAATTACCAGACCTGGGTCCTCCTCCTTGGCCCTCTGTCCAAGACGCCCCAACCTCTGACAGTTGCCAGAATTGTAGGGTTTTGTTTATGCCTCCTCTGAGTTCCTCTTTCCTGTCTGCTTTTTGTTCGTTTGTTCATTCGTGCCTTTTCTTGTTAGCAATTTCCTTAACTGTCTAGTGATCCCTGTGTCTGAACATACGTGGGAATGACCTGCTCAAAAGGTGTTTGAGGACCTAGTGAGCACAGGCAGCTTATTTCCCATGGACTTTACTGTAGGGTGATCAATTAGGGGCATTGAGTTGGGAATTCCAGACTTTATATCTATCTTCTGCCTCCCTCCCTTCCTCCCTCCCTCTGTGTGTGTGTGTGTGTGTGTGTGTGTGTGTGTGTGTGTGTGTGTGATGTTGTAATTCAATGGGCCATTTTCCCAGAGAAAGTGCCTTCATGCTTGTGCCAGTGGAGGTGTGGACTTGGCTGCTAGGGCTCTGAGTCATCTCGGGGCACCATCTCACATTCAGTGACGCAGGTTGCTCTTTAATTCTTGATTTTCCACAGAGTCTCAATTGCATCTGCTTGTTCTGAGTAAAAGGTATTCTCGGGTCAAGTTCTGCAGACAGTAAACCTTTCCCTAGGGAGGGGGAAGTGGCCGGCAGTGGGCTTGCGGAGGGGCTCAAAGACTCGAAGTGCTTCTCTTCTAGACTTCGAATCCCTGTTCGTGTTTGGTCTGACAACAACCCTACTTGCAGAGGCATCCGGTGTCTCTATTTTCCTGAGACTTTTGAGGTTCATTTGCAAAAAGTAGACCTTTCTGATTCGTTTCCTCTTTCCACTAAAATCCTCATTTCCTCTGTCCGTTAGCTCGGTCATCACTCATCCATCTTCTTTCTGCTTCCTCACCGGCACTAGCGCTGTCTCGTCTACCATCTCCTTTCTCCTGCGAGCGAAATCTTTTTATTAACATCCGGTCAATGTCGTCGTGTCAGGAGGAGATGGAATTTGGGAAGCTCCCAAATTCACATTAAAGGTATTATACACTTATATCTTAACGCTTACTTTGTAACTCAGAATCTTACAGGTCCTGGAGGGCTGCGAGTGTTTTAGGACACAGTTACTCCTTGGAGGGCGGGGTACAATGGACAATTACATAAGGTAAATAACTATAGTATCAGAGGTATGAGCAAGACATTCGGATGAATTAGAGCAAGGGCGACATAGAGCCTGCCACTCTCGGCCTTACGGCCCTAGATTAAGGTAACAGAAGGTGCCTAATCGATGCTCTGGAAAGAGTAAACCATGATCCTGAGGGACCTGTGCACACCTGGCCTTATCTCCAGTCAGTACTGAAGCCACCAGAGTTCCTGTCTGTGCGCCAGATGTGGCTAGAAACCCGGGCGTTCATCGTCCCTACTCAACAGAAATAATAAGGCGCTTCTTTATAAAATTAAAATACATTAAAAAAAAATAGAAGTTAGCGTGGTAAATTGCCTAAATTTAATCTAATTATGCATTTAGAGATATTTAGGCCTAAAAAAATATATCCTAGAGACACCTGTGCCAAAGGTTACCAAACTGGACCGTGCTTCCAAGTCGCCTGGGGAGCTTTTAAAAATACACACATTTCCAAACCCCGCCCCCTATACCCTGACTAGAATTTTAACAAATGCCTGATTTTTAGAAATCCTCCGGCCCATTCTGATGAGGACGGCCCGGTCCCTCTGCCTCGCTTTTGAGGCGAGGAAATGGAGACCGTTTGAACAAAGTTGCACAGCGTGCGATATATACAATAAAAATGGTCTCGTTTGTCTGCATGTGACTCATTTCCTTTTATCCTCAGAAAACCCAAAGGTTAGTAGAAAGTACCTCAAAAGCGCTTTTGTTGACAGTGTGAACTGTAAAAGTGGAAATCCTCCAGTTTCAGGGAGGCGGTATCTCCAGGCGCCAGCCCCCAGGAAGAGCAGTAACTCAGTCCCAGGGAGGTGACATCTCCAGGCATCAGCCCCAGGAGAAGCGAAACATTCCAAGGTACAGATGATAAAACTGTCTGCTAGGCCCTGTTTGATCTGAGCTCCCCGGATACATTTATCTTTGTACAAAACGTTACCGGCTAACTTCTGCTTCTTGTAATCTGCTTATTCAAGAATGTAGTTGGAGGCTTTCTAAGCTGCCTCCTCTGGAAGCTCGGGGCTGATCCCCTCCAGCCCTGCGTGGTAGAGAGTCAGTCACCGGCTAATAAAGGCTCATTATTAATCTCAATGGGCTCCGTGGGTCTCAGAATCGTTCGCACCGTAACAGAATGATCCGGTGAGTCTTATGTTGTGGCAGAGATAGCGCAGGGATATTTTTGCTTCTCTTTGGGACAGTTTTAAGGTCACCGATAGTTAATGTTGGTCGATGAAAAATAATCAAATTAAAAAATTTGTTTTTCTAAGGTGAAAAGAAAAAAAAATTTTAGAAACTCACTGAGGATGTCCTGTCCACTTCACAGCGACTGCTCAGAATAAAACAGGCCTCCGCATCATCCATCCTAATCACAGAGAGAAAAACAAAATAGTCACACACCGAAATACCTGTGTATCTTCCGAAAAATAGAATGTCAATGTTAGTTCAATGCACACAAAGTACATGCAAACTCTGAGTACCATTAAGCGGAAATGAAAGTTAGGTTCCTAGGAGATCATGAGTGTTTGACTGTGAACAAAATAGTTGTTGAATTGGCTCTAGAACTCAACAGTTTATAATGACAAGTAAAAAAAAAGTCATTTTACTCTCTTTAATGATTCTATACTTTTTTATATACAGCAGGTCCTTAAATAATTTTATTTCATTCGGTGCCATTATAACATTGACGAGATGCTGTAGGAACTTAACGCTTGTTCACACCAACCAGCCTGTGGGTACGATCTGGCTTTGTGATACATCCCTACAGCTCAAGGATAAATCTGAGATATATTTAAAACTTTTCGAGTGACAGAAAACATCAAGCAAAGCCACTTCTGCTAAGAATCTCGTTTGGCTTCCGAAAACCACAGGTGGTGTTTTGCAGAAGCCCCGACTTCCTGGTGTCCCTGTCCGCCCAACCACGCCCTCACTGCTTGTGTGGAATGACCCGCATGAGCTTTGACCTGTGTTTAAGACCATGTCACCTGTTCTCCAGGTTGCCTGGCACACGCCCAACAGGAAGAGAGCTACCAAGTAAGACCTGTGACCGTGACCTTTCTGATTTCTCCAGCCCCCAGGCAACACAAGTGTTATCTGCTCTGTGTGTGTGCGTGTGTGTGTGTGTGTGTGAGAGAGAGAGAGAGAGAGAGAGAGAGAGAGAGAGATGACGACTCCTGGAGCCCTGTGAATGAGTGACGTCCAGTGTCCTGTGCTCAGCCCTGCTCAGCTCCCGTAGACTCAGCCTGCGGCCTCGCTTATGGAGTCAGCCCATGTCATCGGTGGCCTTCCTCTCTTTCTCTTTTCCTGCTGCCTTCCGTTTTCCCAGAACTCTTGTCTTTTCCAAAACATCCTGTTTGCTCACGACATGACCAAGCTTCGGCGTTGTCCTTTTGCCTCCAGTGATGTCTCAAGGTTAACTCATTCTGGGACCATGTGCCCATCTTCCCGGTGGTCCAGGGTCTCCATACAGCTCCCATCCAACACCACATTTCAAATGAACCAATTTCTTTCCCATTAGCCTTTTTCACCAGCCAACTCCGCCCAGTACGTAATAGAAACTCTTTCGAATTTAAACCCTAACTCAAACTGCTTTGGTATTTTACACGTTTAGCCCAAGATTTTTATTCGTGGAATAAAATTAGTGTTCAGAGATTTGGAGACCACTCTAAGGGCGAGTCCGGATGACCCCGCTCGCCCCGACAGCTTGACATGATGACACCATGCCACAGTCCCCATTGTGTCTCGTGGACACGGTCTACTGACCGTGAGACAGAGCAGCAGACACACTGATTTTATGCTTTTAACTTTTCTATTTGACCAGCACTGGGACTAAGGCAAAACTCTGCATTGAAAAATACTCACACATATTCTGCAACACTGAATGTTTCTAGAATCTGGAGGAGAGAAATGATATCAGGCTCTACACGATGGAGGATGATGCGGGGGGGACCTACTTTGCTCTCAGCAGGTCTTGATCTTTGAGGGCTGAGCCTTGAAGATAGATGACCCTCTGTGACCACATGGGGATCTGTAGTACCCTTCTAACCTGCACATCCATTTCGGTGGGGCACAGAATCACCACGTAATAATCCTGTTCAAAACAGAGAGGGCAACAGGGTTGAAACAGCAATGTTCTCTTATGCCACACAGGTCAATGGAATATCTAAGAACGTTCTGAAATACACTAACATAGAAACGAGCTCTTGCTAAGAAATAAAAGTTTGCATTTAAAACCTGAGCATATATTGAAATAACACAACACTGTAATAAACATAACTGAGACGTATAAAAATCTCATAAATCAATACATTCATCCTGACCTATTTTAATTTTATTACTACCATGAAGAGAAGGTGATCAGTGCTTATGCTCACCACATATTTCCAGCTTATAAAGTTTTCAGTTTTAGGCTGATTCTAATATATATATATATATTTTTTGCATGGTAGGCAGAAGTGCTTAAGTATCATTTCATACTTCAAACCATTACTTTATAAATAGAAACAGTGATGGGGTTTATATCATTTGATAATATCATGAACTGAGATGTTGAGACTTTTCGGAACCACTCATAAAAATATTGATAATACTGACAAAATAAAGAGTTTGAGATAAATCTACTTCAAAATAATGGTCTTTTAGAGAAAATATGAAGGTAATGTTAGTGGTATAAAATGGTATAAATGGCAATGAAATGGTATAAAACAAAACAACCGATCTATGTAGATTAAAATTCTCTAGTACACATTCATCATTTTATCACTGAAATATATCTAGTGGGAATTTTTAGAGTTTTAAGAATTCTCCATGTTGATATTAATCGATATCGATAAATTACTAGGAATCGAACTTTTCCCCAAATAGATTTTCTTCATAATGAGCAATCCTGAAATTATTTATTATGTATAGTAAAAGAAAACAGTTTCTGCAAAAAATGCAAATTAATTTACATGAAAACAGAATATATTGTATAATTTAAGTATCACTTATAAATTAGTTTTTTTTTAACATGTAAAAAATAGTATTTAAAAAGTTCTCCCAAGTATTCATGAAAAAAATCTATTTCAGATAGGGATAGTTAGATATACTCAATACTATCTTGTCCATTCTTTCAACACAAATTTATTTAGGAAACACAAAACATTCAGGTAGCTCTTTGCTGTTTGGGCAGAACCGAGTGCCTCAGGCAGCAAAGATTGTCCAAGTGCGTGTTGGCCCGCTACTGTGGCAAGTATTAGAAGTTTCTGAACGTTTTCTCAAAATAGGCAGATGAACATTTTTTTTCCTGAATTTGTGTTCTTCATCCAGCTAGGTATTGTCCAATTTGTGGTCATTAGTTTCTACTATAAATAGGACCTAGTTACAGTCCAGGAAACAGAAGGAAAATAACTTCCAGGCTCTATCGGCAATACTGGGTAAAAGTGAAGGATTCAAGATGATATTGAAATAATTTTTTCATTGTTTTATGATATTTCATGTTCAATTTCACCGTTTCATAAAAATATCATTTATATATTACCCAAGGGATTCTTTTAATTCAAAGAAAACCTTTCTTTGTAACATTAGCATAATTCCATCTGTCTTTTAATGTAGATACAGAAGGACACTTAAAATACTGTGTCTTCTGTCAGCATTTTTTTCTATGTTCCTGGTTATATTTGTCATTCTTCATTTACACGTTCTAAATTTGAGTGTATAAATAAAAGTCCTCCAGAAGGCAGGAGGCCCCATCAGCTAATTGACTTCGACGAGACGTTAGTAGGTGTGATCGAACATAACGCACCATGTAACGTGAGCATACCTGTAGTCTTGGATGAGCATAGAATTCGTTTAAAAAGTCCATAAGTAAGTCGATCTTCAGTGAGCTGACACACAGAACCACGTGCTTTTCAGTCTGAGCTCTGTGCCGACTGTAATTTCCACCTGACTTTTGTCTCTCCATCCACAAATAAGCCAGCTGTTCAAACTGTAATGCATTTTTCACATATGAATGAGAAACACTGGACTCGAAAATAAAAATCAATGCAATGCATCTATTGTTTATTAGGTATACTCAATTTCTTAGGTGGAACTCATTGAGATGTAAATTATTAGCGGTCCCTCCAACAACGGAGCTTTCAAATGGTTGCCACAGAGGTCGCTAATGCCTCCCAGAGGCTTCGGGTCTCCAAGGAAACATATTAATATATTTTCCTATTATATCATATCAGGGCACTGAGAGGTCTGTGTCTCTGCTTTATGTCCAGTAGCGTGTGCAGCGTGATTTGTCATGTGCGGGTCAAAGACAAATGCCTTGTTGGCATGTCTTCCATGTTCATCAAGTTCATCCCGTATCTTACTCAGTAAGACGCCTTCACTGCAACAGTACAGGGGCCACATTCTGGCTGTACGGCAGCTGGTGTGTGAGGGAAGAGGGGTGTGTAGGGGACAGATGTCGAGAAGGAAGACAGGCATGATTGGACAGGCCTGGGGAGATCTTTTTTATTAAATTTATTGGGGTGACATTGGCTAATAAAATTATATAGGTTCCAAGTGTACGATTCAATAATATGTCATAGGTATATCGTATTGTATGTTCACCGCCCAAAGTCAAATCTCCTGTCACCATATATTTGACCCCCGTTCCCTCTGATAACTACTAAACTGTTGTCTATGAGTTTTTCTCTCTCGTTTGTTACTTTCAGTTTTATATCCCATACATGTGTGAAATCATATGGTTCTCAACTTATTCTGTCTGACTTATTTCACTCAGCATGCTAATCTCAAGATCCAAGATGCATCCATGTTGTCCCACATGGCAGGATTTTACCTTATGGCTGAGCGATTTGATATTCCATTGTATATATGTAGCGCATCTATGGAAAACATTATGGAGGTTCCTCAAAAAATTGAGAATAGAATTACCAGATGACCCAGCAATCTCTCTTCTGGGTATCTATCCCCCAAAACTGAAAACATTTATCTGTAAATATATATACACCCGATGTTTATTGCAGCATTATTCACACTGGCCAAGACATGGAAACCTTCTGGGTATCTACCCCCCAAAACTGAAAACATTTATCTGTAAAAATATATACACCCAATGTTTATTGCAGCATTATTCACACTGGCCAGGACATGGAAACAACCGAAATGCCCTTTGATAGACGATCGGATGACGGGAAGATCATTTTTTATACCTACGTAAAGTATATTTAGAGACAGTGTAGCCAAGTATGTAAGAGAATGTGCAAGTTTTATTTGTAGATGTTGTATCCTGTCGCTAGCCCATCCACCCAAGGACACCCAAAGCTCACTGTGGGAAAGAGCTGGAGATCGCCTCTATCTTTAATCTCATTTACATCTCTGTTCCTTTGCAGTCACCTCTCCACTCCCCAAAATGCTGCATGATAGTTATATATCATCTTCCGATTTTATTTCGGTTGATCAAAATATGCAATCAGTTTTTATTCATTACAGTGTTTGGTTTTTAGATTATTTCAGGAATCAAGAGAGATCAGTCCTCGAGTTTATTTCCTTAATCTATCTATCTATAATTAAAAACCATACTATCCTATGGCCTCATTATCATAGTTAAACATTCAATATTTAAATATACATCTTGAAAAACTGTAATGAAAAACGTAACCTATCGGTCATGAGCAAAGGAGGAAGAACCCCTCAGTTTCTAATATAATGTAAAAAGGCATTTCTGAGACAATTTTAATTAATTGGCTAGCTATAATAATAGCCTGTGTTAATATATTGAATTAATAAGCCACCCCACATTTCTATTAAACATGCAAAAGTTGATTTTATAAGACTCGACACACTGCTGTAAAATTTAACATGACCGTTTACCTGGATGGGTAGGACCACAAGAGCGACACAGATCATAGCCACCACGAAGAGCTTGGAGGACCATGTCTCAGGAGTGACATCTCCGAAGCCCACGGTAGAGAATGTCACGATGCAGAAATAAAGGGAGTCGAACAGATTCAGCTTCTTCCCTATCCGCTCCAGGTGCTGAATCCCACAAATGCTAAGGACACACATGAGCAGGCAGATTTAGACTTTCAAACCGGGCACATTATGTTTCAACATTACTCATTTGAAAGCCAAAGCACATTTCATAAGGCCATTTAATAGTTGGGATCTTAAATGGTGCAGTTTTTTTCCCCTTAGGAAAATATAATTTTTAAGTTTTTTTTCTATATTAACTAAATATAGGATTATTTTGAAGTAAAAAGAATATCTTTAAGATAGGGAAGTACACACAGAGTTTATTGCTACTTACAGAATTCTTGAGGCTAAGACAGTCTCCTCATTGTAATACCTTTGATTTCCATCATGCACAAACATTAATATTTTACTTATCTGTTAGCTATTTTCCCAAGAACTGTGAATGCTATCACCTGCTATATAAAGATTCGAAGCTATTCAGTGATTACAATCCACTTTAATATAGATTGTTATCTTCATCCACAGCTGTCCTGGGAGCCATTATTAAAACTGCCTCTTCTCTCTGATCACAATTGATGGATTTCCATTAATTATTATTTTTCGTCTGTACCCAGAAATGATTTTAATGATGGGCACAGATTTTCTGAGAAACCGAATCCAAGAACGTGCTCAAATGCAGCACGTTCATTACCATAAAGCCCTCTTCTGTCTCGTCGTAAAAAGGATGTAGTTTTCAAAGACCAAGTTGAACTATTTAAATTTTATCCTGAATTGAAAGTAGCAAAGAATTTAATGATGTAGAATTTAAAAATAAATAATCACATCTAGTGGATATTAGTAAACATTCTGCTATCTTTAAATTTTCTAATCAAATTTAATGTTTTGTGACTGGACAATTAGTAATATTGTTTTTTAAAAAAGCTTCCTTAAAATGCTTGATGTTAGTGGATATCTAATTGTAACAAAATTTTTGTTTATTATTCTGTATCCCCTGCCTAAACATTCGAAATTAAATAATTTGCTGCGATTTAATATAGAAAAAATGAACTAATATCATACCATGTTTTAACTTTTCATTTAGTTAATAGGCATGAAAGTTATTCAGATTCATTTGTAGTAATTGGCTTTGAAGTGGAAAGTTGCAAGTATATATAATTTTCTTACAATTTCTCTATTGTGAAAAATATCTGGAAATTTTAAATAAGAAAAATATTTGATATAAAACTAATAAGTGCTATAAAATTTTACTTAAATATACCATAATGGAAAATAGGTAACCTAATATTATAAAAGTATATCACATTTATTCATACAAATACATTTATTGATGGTTTACTAGGGGCAAGCCTTGTGCTGTATGTTAGAGATGCAGAAATGAATATGACACTCTACACAAAAAGAAATTTCTGAAAACTAAAGTGAATGATTTCGACCTCAAATTTACGCTACTATTACTAATAACACCATAAATTAATAATCAAACATTTAACTTATAGCTCAATTAATGCTAAATTCGGTAAATTACATAAAATTTTCACATCACCTGCTCCTTACCCGAAAATTAAATATATTAACTTCCTCATTTGGTGATTATGAGGATTAAATGTGCTCGTGCTCAGAGAAATGCCTGACACATAACACTCCTCGAATTCAGTAGTAATTTTGTTATTTAAATTCCAACCCCAGCATAAAAGAAATACATAAAAGAAGCACAAAAATGAGTCAGATATAAGGATCAAACATCTACACAAAAATATCACAAAGCCTTTGTTTTCAACTTGACAAAAAGAAAATAAATAAATGTACTGTTAGTAACAGAGAGAACAGCTGTCCCTCTTTGCTGTGGATTTGCTAACCCTTTTCCAGCAGCAGATAAGTAGTCACCCGATTAACGAGGAGCTGTTAGCTCGTCCATTCTCTTTTCCAAGCTTGCAACTCTCAACTGTTGACGAGTGGGAATGGGCAAGCGGGAAGGCCTCGGAGGAGAAGGGTTGGGCAATTTGCAGTGTAAACCCGCAATCTTTAACTGTTCACAAGAGCCGTCCTGCTGATACGGGCTGACCTTTGGAGGGTCACCGCTGTCATTTACGGAAACTGACAGTTAATTCTTGGTAGCGCAGTCAGGAGAAAAAAAAAAGATTAGGCACTATTTCTGGGCCAAAATGTCAATATTAGGCCAGTGACGAGTTTTAAAAAGAACTACTTATCACTGAGATTGCTTGACTGAAGCGATCTCCTTTGTAATTATAGAAAAGGCTGCATGTATGTAGATCATATACGCATATATGTATGTAGTTCACTAACCGAGGTAACTACTAAGAATATCTTTATATGGTAATATTTTAAGATTTAAGTGTTAAAATAGTAATATTTAGGGGAAACTCCCAATAGATTTTTCTTTTTATATGTTTTTACACATACACGCACACTTCACTGTTATCGTTTAAATAGCTACGTAATTTTATGTAACTTGTGGGTTTCCTATTTTATGATTAAACATAACTATCTTCTGGAAATTTTGATGCATTTTGGGAAGCAGGGAATTGCTGCCATGAACATATTTATGTTTTTCTATAATTGTGGTCGATATTCGCAACGTTGAGCTTAATCTGGACTCTCAAAACTGCTTCACGAAGCCATTTCTGTCTTAAAGTAATTTACTTTTACGTGAATACCCTTCGGGACAATGTGTTTTTAAGATCGCTGCCAGGCAATAAAAACCCTTTAGGAACTGTATGGTACAGTTCATCGGTAAGCTCTCAAGAGGAAGATAACGGGCCAGCTCAAGTCACGGGCCCAATATTTTATGTGGTTTTCAGCCAGGATTTGTTGATCTTCTAATATGACCTATAGAGATCAGGGGCTAAAGGCAGTGATAATAACGACATGAAGTAGGGAATATTAGGAAAATTTTGCAGGTGGAGAAGGGTAAGAATCATTTCATTTTTGGATATGTCAAGTATCATTCCTGTAAGGCAAGCATGTCCAATCCAGGTGATAGTATGTTTTATTACTATACTTACACTTATAATAAACCATTCTTGTACTTTCTAGGTAAACCCTACTTGGTAATTTTGTTACAGTTCTAATATTATCAATTCTAAAAAAAAAATAGTAATATGCACTTGTTATAAGACAAATAACAAAGATTTAAATGAGAAGTTGTTTCTGTCCATTCCACTCCTATCTATTCTTGAGGTAATTAATATTTAGTAAAGTATCCTTTTGCTTGTTTGATATTTGTTTTCTTTTTAATGAAAATACACTTTTGATTTCAGTTGGCAATTTATTACTCTACGGTTTTTACATCCATCTTTGGAAAGGGATCTTGGTCCATAGTTCCGTATCGCAATCTATGTTCCTTGAAAAGCCAGTTTGGCACATGTTAACCAGACACAAGGCTCTGTAGTCAGACACATCTGGCAGCTCTGGGTTAAGCATATTTTATTCAGCAAAAGACTTTTCCGATCCTTTTAATGAGTTAATGTTTGTTACAGCTCAGAGAATGAAATGTTTATAGGATTAACCAAACGAATCTGCTAACTTCTTAGTTTTGAGAGAGTATCTCAGAGGATTAGGGTTTTATGAACTGAATTATAAGAATATTAACTCATACCTTGTGCTTTCCTTGAGTGTACTAGAATCCCAGTTTAGCTTAATCATTAAATGACATGGATAATATTTTACCTTTGTGCATGCCCTGAATTAACTGTTCCTTGAAGGAATTTAATAGTATAACTGTTGGGCCCTGAAGTTTTATTTTTTTAGTGAAGATATAATTTTTTAAATGTCACAGTTTAAAAGTGTTCTATCTCTACCTTTAATCTCGATACTGCTTAAAAACCCAGACATTTGCATTTTGGAAAGAGCTACTATTCCATCCAGAGATCCATGAGAATCATTACGCCTCACTCATCATTCCTTGGTCTTCACTGACTTCTACAAATCTGAACCTGAGCACGTTAACAAAGTACAGTCACAGGCCCACAGCAGCCATACTGCGTGCTGGGTAATGACAGAAGCAGCTTCCTCTCTCTGCTCATAAAGAAGCTAAGAGAAGAGAACACTTTTTTTTATAAGCACTGCAATTATTTGAAATGTGGATCACCAAATTGTGCATGCCATATGGAAAGGACTCCAAATTGTATCTCACTCAAGATAATTTTAGTTAAACCATTCCCATGCCTGCAAAACTCATAACCACATTAATTTAAAAAGCATCAGGCCCCATTTTGCACTATATCCATGGAGGCATGATATATAGCATACCGAGCATTTAATTTTGAATCACCCTCAAAAACAAAAAGACTGTTATGAAGTGAAATTCGTTTCTTAAGTGTCATTTTAATATAATGTTCCTCCATTTAGAAGAGCTGACATCTTAATTTATGTATTTTTAAATCTAGTTTTTTATCCTTTTACTCTTTTATGTTCTTTTCACCAGTGAAAAAAGATCACCCGGGTATGTGATAGAAATTATCTAAGATTACACCAGTATCAATAGGGTGGTAAATATTCTTTCTCATCTTAACTGCTTCAACTAAGGGAATTATAGGATCCCACATTGTTCCTCGGCAGTCCTAAGGAATGCATTTCTTTTAACAAAATTACGTTAGTTTATTACATTTCGTGTCCTTTCGCCATTAATGATTTAAATGAAAAACATCTGCTGAAGGGTCTTGGTAAATTTCTCATGGACTCATCAGCCTTTGGCCCATCACTGTCCTAACGAGTACACAGGGGGAAGCAGAGTTTTCATTGTTGTTCCTGGTGGGAAGAAGGAAGCTTATAATTATGTGGTGTTTTGTTCTGTTCGAATTCCTCAGCTTACACGCTACACCGAGCACGTATTTATAATCACCCATAATCATTGATTAAGAAATGTGTACCGTGTCTCAATGTAAAATGTGTTTTCGAATGTGAATTGGGGAAAAAGGTAAATAAATAATGGTGGTAAGGTAAGAAATGATTAAAATAGATTAAATAAGGAGACAAATCATAACGATCAAAGGTCATAACGTGGTGTAGTCAAGAATCAGGTAAGATAATGGCCATGTTCTTGAAACTCTCACTTGAGGA